ATTTTTGCATGCGGCAGTTTTCAATGACCGATTCTGGCGCGTTGCAAATTAAAATGCTAAAAATTAGACAGGCCATACGTACATACAAAATAGTTTTAAACAAAAGAAAGGCCTACCAAACAAAACACACAAATGAACAAATTAAAAGCACAAACTGCAACAAATATATTCATAATACATACATACATATGTAGATGATGGAAAACTTCCATAAGAGGAGTTGTTTAACTTATGGTGTGAAAGTAAATAATATGACCCCAATATGTAATAGCAAGTAGAAATTTGTACAAGTATATATTTAAGAGTCGAGCAATTTAGATGAACCAAAATTGAAACAAAAAAAAATAATGTACGAGTGTTGGAAAATTATGACTTGAAGTATTTATTAATCACTTAAAACTCGCGCAAATTATTAATCAAATTATTACAATCGAGTGTGGAGTAAAATTACATCCTCGCACGCGTATGGATGTCACTATCCACCGCACGGCAACAAATATGAGAACAAATGTACACATGTGTATACATACATATGTATGTAAAACTTTTTAATAATCTAATTGTCCAAGTTGATTGGATTTTATTAATGATAAATATTATTTTATGCTTATAAATTATTTTACTCGAAGCCAAAGTTTAATCTCTTAATGAGATACTATTATCTAATTATTTTTAGTTTGTAGTTCGTTTACTTTAGAATTTACTTTTAAAAGTTTCACAATTTATTAATCGACACTCAGTACCAATGTCGAATAAAAAGTGTTTGCAAAAACGTCTTTTCAGTTTATTTGTACACTAAGTAGAATAGATGTTAACAAAATAAATACAAAAAAAATTACTAAAGAAAGTGTAGTATTTTATGACTACATACATACATACACACATACATAGTAGTAGTTAAAAGTGAAATCAAATCCATCAATTGCCAAATTACTTGTAGCTTTGAATTGAAGAATAAAGTTGAAAAATGCAAAAACAAAAATTTAAGTAAATAACAGAAAGGCAGTGCTAGCGGTAGTAAAAAATAAGTAAACATATACATACATAAAGAGGAGAACCCTAAAAAATATAGAAAACGTGTGAAAGCCTCAATATTTGCGATTTCAAAATGCAAGTACACGTCAGCAGCCCTTTATCCGCGTTGGCCAGCTCGGCAGCATAAATGTGTGCTGTGACAACACGCTTCCACTTATTGCAAACAATAAACTTAGCTACTTAGCTACTTCCGGGTTTGTTTTCAGGACGATATTTGTTACGTTCAGACACTTTTACCACTGCAAAGCATAAGTCAGTCAAAAGGTGAAACAAAAAAAATAAAGCTTGGATATCATTAAAGTGTTCTTCACGTCCGTTCCGGGCGTTCTTGTAACTCTCATCAGAGTTATGCGAAACTTTTCCAATTTCAACATTTAAAATGTGCTTTAACCCTTTTCAGCCAAGCCAATTAACGAAAAATGTGGTATGTCTTCACTTCTCACCGCAATTATTATACAAAGAAGCTGAAAATCACTTAAAAATCTTATCTTGAATTATGTAGCTCGTAAAAACTTTTTAAAATTCACAAATAAAGATTTAAAATATTAAGTAATTAAAATATGACAAGGACTCAATTCAAAGACCAGAAGAATACAAAGTGGTAGGAATAAATTACACTTGTAAGCTTACCATTAGAGTTAAATTCAGAAAATATTAATTACCAAAAAAACTGAAATTAAACATTCAAACAATGTGAATGTAAATATTTTGTAGTGGAAACAAGCAGACATTGCCGTCAAATTAATTAAGCTGAAAATATTAAAAAGTGAACAGAAACTTAAATATCATAGAATTGTGAAAATTACATAGACATTTAAAGTGTTAGCAACCAAAATATGTTGAAGCAGACACACTTGCTCAAAAATTTTAATAAGATAATACATACATATATTGCAAATATATGAAAAAAAAACATGAATTCAAATAAATAAATTTTAGAGCGTAAACTGTGCCAAATTGTAAAACCTGATCTATTGTACTGTCCGTCTCCCCCGTTGTTTCCATTTAAGTTATATTTTTCCCCGCGCCCTTTTTCTTTCAGTCAGCCCTTGTTGTATTTCACATTTTTTGTGGATGAATAATCCTGCATCTTTTGTTCAGTATTTGAAAATGCGATGCGAAGAAATCCTTAAATTTAATAGATTTAAAATAAAAAAGCTTCCCTACCAGAACGATTTACCCCATACTACTCCAATTACATTTTCGTTTTCAAAAGTCAAACACAATTACAAACTACTTCGGAAATTAGGTAAGCACTTTTCCGAGCGCCGAACTACTCCGAGGAACTGCTCTACATTTTACGTACCTTACTTTATGAAGCGGCTCAGAAGTATGTCAAATTCCAAATGTACATACATATATTCTAAATTCCTACTTACATAAGGCGGCCACGTCTTTGTTAAAGTAAGAGAGATTCGGCAGGGAAGTGGTAAGGACCACCGGGCGAAGTGCAATGCCTTACCAGCAATTTACACTTCACCCGGCGGAGTAGTTCGGTGTTCGAAAATAATCTCGGCGGCACGTTATTTTGCAACTGACAACGTAAGGCGCCATCGGAGGTGTACATTTTGTGCTTTACTAGTAGATGATATTGGTCATGATGACAATTTTGGTACTAAAAGCTGAAAAACACATCAGGAATTACCTCGTAAGGTGCTTACCTATTTTCCCAGTGGGAAGCGTTAGAACAGTAGAATGCGATAAAATTTTCACATTGATGTTAAGAAATTCATAGAAACTTTACCCAACAAACCAGTTGAAGCTACCTGAAAAATATGGAATATTTACCCAGTCTGTTCTGGTAGGGTTTGTAAGTGACATTTTCATAAAAATGTTCGATCCATTGAGCATTTAAAATCCTTTTTATCTTCATGAATTTGGCCGATAATATTTACTCAAAATAATTTCAACTGCATTTTCTTTATTTAGGTTTACCTCCAAGGTATTGTCTTCCCAGAGAGTTTTGCTTCACATCGAAATCCGTGCTCCCTTATTTTCATTTTGACGCATTTCAATGTTGAATCTTTTACTTTTAGGGCGTTGCTTTTCGCTCATTTAAATTCTTATAATTTTTCAAAAAAAAAGGAAGTACGTTTGAAATAAATTGAGCAATGAAAATTTTTTATTTTGTCTACTAAGCAAATGTTTATTTTTCGGATTTTGCAAATGAAATAAGTTCTCTGCGAGAAGGTTTGTTAATAAACAAAAATCTACATACATCTTTTAGTGTGGGCAACAGTGATATTTTTCAAATAAAGCAGATCGGAATATGCGCTCTCTGGAAAGACAATACCTGTAATTATTGTACCATGGTTTATCTCCATACATAAGTACTATTTAAAAATGAAAGCAAAAATATGTGTACGATTTTTAAGCACTTGAAAAACCATATGCAGTAATAAACGGTGATATATATACATATGTACGTTGTGCCAGCTCATTTCGACGCTCCCTTGACTTACGAAACACGAGAGAAAGGGGAGAAAAGTACTAAATTTGGTATTCTTTTTCATTTGAAAGCATCAAATCAAAATTTGTGAAAACCAGCTTTTAGGCAATTTATATGAAATTTGTATATTAATATATGCTTAATGATATACACTGCCGGAACAAAGTATTGGCACAGCAAAGTTTTCACAATATATGCAACAATTTTCATTCTAATATTTTTCCGCTAATTTCGTATAAAAATATGGTTCATCCTACAAC